GACATTAGGGAGCAAGACAGCTATCACATTAAAGGGCTTTCCATCATTTATGTAGAATAAAAACGGCATGCAACATTCTAAAAATGACTGAACCATTGGGGTTAGCGTCAGATAAATCTGGGATTCACATTCTGGCTTTGCCACGTGTGGCTTTGGGCGGGCACTTAACTTCCCTGACCCTCTGTTTCTTCATCAGTGTGTGAGGACAAAATAATGCACGTGATGTGTGCAGCACAGAGCCTGGCATAGGATGAGTGCTCTAGAAAGGGTGGCTGTTGTTAGGAATGTTTTCACCTCAACTAAATCATTTTGTGGAAGTAACTATGTGTTAAATCTGTCAGCTGAGGGGGCCCTGGGTGGCTCAGTCCTTAGGCATCTGCCTTCGGCTCGGGTCCTGGGATCGAGCCCCGCATCGGGCTCCCTGCTCCGCGGGAGGCCTGCTTCTCCCTCTCCCACTCCCCCTGCTTGTGTTCCCTCGCTCGCTGTGTCTCTCTCTGTCAAATAAATGAATAAATAAATAAATAAATAAAATCTTTAAAAAAACAGTCAGCTGATCCACATGACCCAGCCCTGGAAAAAATGTTATTTAAAAGTAGTGAACTTTCGCTTATAGACACTCTTTTACACACATCGTAGAAGGTGTTATAAATAAAACAGATTCACTAAGGATTTTAACAGGTAAGGGAGAAGGGTAAGAAAGCATTTGACAAGCGATGAAGAGATAAGGATCATTTGTGAAATTATTTAACTTCACCAGGGACCAGAGACTATACTATCCAAATCACAGACTTTCTCTTTCTCTCTCCTCCCTCCCTCCGTCCCCTTCTTCCTCCCTCCCTCCTCCCTCCCTCCTTCTTTTCCTCCTTCCCTCCCTCCCTTTCCTTCCTTCCTTCCTTCCTTCCTTCCTTCCTTCCTCTTTCTTACTGCGAGTACGAAGGATGACAAGGGTAGTGTGAATTAGACATGCTTATAAATGGCTAGCAGTAGTCTAAAGGGGTGCAGCTTTCTTTTTTCCTCCCTTCCTTTCTTCCTTTCCCTCCCTCTCTTCCTCCTTTCCTTTCTGTTTTAATGTCTATGATGGGAAATTTCAAACACACACAAAAGTGGAGAGAGTAGGATAATGGACTCCGTGCACCCCTCACCAGCTACAGCTTTTATTTTGTCACTGATCTTGTTTTACTTATTCCCTTGTTCTAATAACACTGTTTTGCTGCATCATTTTATTTAGTTAGTTATTAAAGATTTTATTTATTCATTTGGCAGAGAGAGAGCGCACAAGCAGGGGGAGCAGCAGAGGGAGAGGGAGAAGCAGGCTCCCCACTGAGCAGGGAGCCCGATGCAGGACTCGATCCCAGGACCCCGGGATCATGACCTGAGCCACAGGCAGATGCTTAACCGACTGAGCCACCCAGGCACCCTTTGCTACAGCATTTTAAAGTAAATTTCAGACATCATCTCTCCTGTAAGTATTTCAAAATGAAGTCTCTCTAACATAACCAAAATCCCATCATCACACCTAAGAAATGATTCCTTAATATTAAAGATAATGCCTGTTTAGAAAGCGGGTTAGTGATACTCATTGAGAATATATCCATACACCTTGACACGTAACTTTGCTTCTTTTTCTCCCTATTATAGAAAAAAAGTTTTTTTTAATTATTTTTTTATTGTTATGTTAACCACCATACATTACATCATTAGTTTTTGATGCAGTGTTCCATGATTCATTGTTTGTGCATAACACCCAGTACTCCACGCAGAATGTGCCCTCTTTAATACCCATCACCAGGCAAACCCATCCCCCCAAAAAAAGTTTATTCTGTAGCCTAATTTGCAAGAGAAAAATACATAATTGGAAACAACTTGAATGTCTAACAATAGTAATTATGGTAGGTTCATGCAAGGATATTTATAAAGTTTGGGGTGAGTGGCAATGCTTATCCTTAATGCCACAAAGATGGAGCAGGATTTGATATTACATATTGAGTATGAGATCTGTAAAAATGCCTATAAAAGTTCTCCCTGAACACTGACTGTATCTCAGATGCTGTGGGAAGAGTGTTTACTCAAAAGGTAGGAGCGTTATTAGTGCTTCTACTAATGAGGACATTGCTGTTCAGAGACATGGAATAACTTTCTAGAATACCCCTCAGCTGCTAAGATGTAAACTGAGGCATGGGTGGAACCCCAGATTTGTCTGGCTCAACAGCCCAAGGATCTAACCATTGTCTGGCAGCCTGGGCATCAAAGTGTTAACAGGAGCTGTCTCTTGACTGAGCAGTGGGATTGAGGTGATTTTCCTTCTTCACACCTTCTTCATTTTGCAACATTTTCCACTGAAGGTATTCATTTTATGTTAGAACAAAATATGTTCAGATTACATATTTTAAATTGTATATTTAAAAGACAGAACATGTTTGGAACATGTCCTAGATAAAGCGCTAACATGGCCATGTGAAAAAAACCTCCTATAAACCGGTAAGAAGAAAGATAATTCAGGGCAAAAGATGTGACTCAGGGGCCCCTGGGTGGCTCAGTCGTTGAGCGTCTACCTTCAGCTCGGGTCGTGATCCCAGAGTTCTGGGATCGAGCCCTGCATCAGGCTCCCTGCTCGGTGGGAAGCCTGCTTCTCCCTCTCCCACTCCCCCTGCTTGTGTTCCCTCTCCCGCTGTGTCTCTCTCTGTCAAACAAATAAATAAAATCTTTTTTTTTTAAAGATTTTATTTATTTATTTGAGAGAGAGAGAGAATGAGAGATTGGGAGCACGAGAGGGAAGAGGGTCAGAGGGAGAAGCAGACTCCCCGCTGAGCAGGGAGCCCAATGCGGGACTCGATCCCGGGACTCCAGTATCATGACCTGAGCCAAATCAGTCGCTTAACCAACTGAGCCACCCAGGCGCCCCAAATAAATAAAATCTTAAAAAAAAAAAAAAAAGATGCAACTCAGAAACCCAGTGGCTAATGAGATAAAGTAGATCCTGTATCTCACTAGTGGCCAAGTAATTGCAAATTAAAGCCGAGATGAGATACCATTTTCTATTCATGAAATTGGCAAAAATCAAAAAAAGATTGATTATATCTCTGCACTGGTGAGGAGATGGGAAGGAGGAAGGGGGCTGTTCGGGTGGGATCTATTAGCACCAAGCATTCACCCCGTTTGACCCAGCACAAACCCAGCACTCATAAGACTCTGTCTTACAGAAATAAAAGCATCATTTGTAAGGATATATGCTCATGAATTGTTATTGCTGCATAATTTGTAGGAAGGAAATTGGAAAAGCATGACTGCCCCCCAATAAGGAAATAGTTGAATAAATCAAGATCTATCAGTTCAATGGAATACCAGGCAGCCATTAAAAATAATTAGACCTATAAGTAATGACTTGCGAAGAGAAAAGGAAGACGCTGAGTATTGTGTAGAGAGCCTCATTACTCAGGTACAGTCTCCTTTCCAGCAGCGCCACACACTTGGAAGCTGATTGGAAATGCAGAATCTTGCCCTCAGCCTAGACTAACCAACTCAGAATCTGCATTTTAACAAGATCCCCTAGGGAAGCACTGGTGTATAGGATGATTTCAATGGGAAAGCCTTCTCATGTACAGTGGCAAAAATAGATAGTCATCCATCCAAAGAATCCTCTCCTTCTATTCTTCTAACTTCTCATTTTTTGCTGGGCACAGGGCCACCCAGGACTAAGGTGAATTTCCCAGCCTTCCTTGTAGTTTGTTGGGACCATGTGCTGAGCTCTGGCCAAGAGGACAGGACTGGAAGCGAAGAAGAATATATCTGTCTTGTGCCCCTAAAAGGGAATACACCTGTATCCCTCTGGGCGTTTCTTGCTTTCTGCTCCCAGGAAAATGTCAATAACTGAATGAGTCACTGTCTTAGCTTGGACTAGCATAACAAAATACCACAGGCCGGCGGGCTTCAACAACAGAAATTTATTTTCTCACAATTGTGGAGGTTGGAAGTCCACGATCAAGGTCTGGCAGAGTTTGGTCTCTGGTGAGGCTTCTCTTCCCGGCTTGCAGATGGCTGCCTTCCAGGCTGTGTCCTCACATGGCTGTTCCTGTGTGTGTGTGTGTGTGTGTGTGTACATGCTTAGAGAGAGGGAGAGAAAGAACTCTCTTTCTCTTCCTCTATTTAGAAGACCATCAATCCTATCAGAACAGGGTCCCACCCTTATGACCTCATTGGACCCTACTTACCTCCTAAAGTCCCTGTCTCCAAATACAGTCACATTGGGGGTTAGGGCTTCAAGCTATGAATCTGCAGGGTGAGGGGGACACAGTTTAGTCTATGGCAGCCACCTTGGACGCAGAGATGGGAACCACAGTAGAGGCGCCCCACCGTACTCGGCCGCCTACCTCCGAAATGTTAGACTGGGAGAAACTAGGATGTTCAAGCCACTGCACCTCGGTTCCTAGTTCGGCAGCTCTACCTGTTTCCTAACCCACTCATACGTGGATATGGTTACAGAAGCTCCACTGAGCAAGAAGGAACGTATAAAATGATGCCCTGGAAATGGGCTATGGGGTGGGCGTGGTGAGCAAACTAAGCGTCCTGAGGGAAGGTTACCCAGCAGCATTTTACAGTCACCCTCAACGTTCAGACAACTATGGGAAACGAGATTTGTCCCATTTTGTAAGTAAATGCCTAAAACAAGAATCTTTCCAGCAGGACTCTTCGTTGTCATGCGACGTCACACACATTCCAGCCTCCACACACACCAGTTTTCCTCCCTCCCTTTTTCCCCCCCCCCCCCCCCCCCCAACCCCGTTCCTTTTCATCCTATTGTGAAAATTGTCTTTGGTGCGTGGGTGCAGATGCTGTCCTGGGACAGGCCAGGGAACAAGGGAGAACAAACACCCTCAGTGCTGCTGGAACGTCTTCCCAGGGTTTTATTTTCATTCCTCCTGTCGGTTCTCCAAGTGCCAAGGGCGGACTTCCTTGGGAGACGGAGGATGTCCGTAGCGCCCCTGAAGGCGCTCTCACCCTTCCTACTGGTAAAATGGCACCATGGGCCCCCGTCGGTTCAAGATGGGGAACTTGACTTCATGGTGATACGGACAGAGGCAGCCAGGCAGTAGAAAGTAGCCCTCGCCCTCCTCGGGCGCAGGCTGGACCTCGGGCTCCAGGAGGCACGGCAAGCCGGCGCTCTGGCGGACCCGGTTGGGGGCACCCTGGGCCGGGTACAGGGCGTGGGAAACGGGGTACACGGAAGGGCATATACTGGTGAACCTGCACTCGTCCTCCGCTGCGGCCACACGGTCCTGATCCTGCGGGGGGAAGAAGCCAGGCTGTCCCAGGTCTTTGGCGGTCATGTGGGGTTTTCTGAAGGCGGGGTATCCATCCTCTAGCCTGGGCTTGGAGCTGGGGACGACCCTATAAAATTCTTTGTCCTGGAGTTGGGCATCCAGCTTCGCTTGCTGTGGAAATAAGTCACACAGGAATGGACGGGTGAAAGGTGAAGCAAGTAAGCTTCCTTGGCCTCATCCAAGACAGAGCACACTTCTCTTTAGTTAAAAAAAATTTAAATTGGTTTTTGAATGGTGATATATACGACCCAGGGAAATACTGAAATAGTAGAAAAGGGTTTCTAGTGAAAAGTCAGTGTCTTTCCCACCCCTCCTCCTCCCTTGGATCCCATCTCCAGAGGCAACCACTGAGGTAAGTGTTTTTTCTATTTCTCTAGATATAGCTTATGTTTGTATAAACATATAATGAATTTTACACCGCCTGGCTTGTATGCAACTGATGCACATTATAATCCCGCTCTGCATTTTGCTTCCGTTAAATACTATATCCCAGAAATTGTTCCATCTTTGTTTGTACGGATTTTCTTATTTTTAGTGGAGCTACCTGGAGATAGAAAAGGATTTCTTGAACAAGATTTAAAAAGGACAAATGATAAAGGGAAAGACTGGTACATCCAACTATATTAAAGTAAAAATTTCTATTCACTGAAAGAGAGTGAAAAGATAGACCACAGCCTGTGAAGAGTGTTGCCATTTCTATAACTGACAAATGAAACATGTCTAGAGTATTTACAAAACTCCTACAAATTAAGAAGAAAAAGACAAGCATCCCAATAAAAACATGGGCAAGGGGCACTTGGGTGGCTCAGTCATTGAGCATCTGCCTTCGGCTCAGGTCATGATCCCAGGGTTCTGGGATCGAGCCCTGCATCGGGCTCCCTGCTCCACGGGAAGCCTGCTTCTCCCTCTCCCACTCCCCCTGCTTGTGTTCCATCTCTCGCTGTCTCTCTCTCTCTGTGTCAAATAAATTAATAAAATCTTAAAAAATAAAATTAAAAAAATAAAAAATAAAAACAGGGGCAAAAGACATGACAGCCATCTCACAGAATAATAAATATCCATAAACATATGAAAAGATGCTGAATCTCATTAATAAGCAGTGAAATGAAAATTATGAGCACAAGGAGATATTCTTTCAAACCCACCAAATTAGCCAAAATTGGAAAGTCTTTAATACCAAGTTGATGGCAAGGTTGGAGAGCCACAGAACGGATTGTCCCCTGCTCCAGTGATGTAGCCACTTTGGCCAAAAGCAATGTTCCCTGGGACAAGCAATTCCCCTCCTGGGCCGGGGACTCCTGCGCCTTAGGCTGTGTAATCCGCACTGCAGCACAGGACAATAGAAGTGGCAGACAAGTAAAAACCCAGATGTCCAACAGCAGAGGGGACAAATATATGGTGGCGTATTCATGCAATGTAATACAACACAGCAGAAAATGAATAATGTATTATAAGTAACGTAATGTTTGGCAAGAAGTAAAAGTCACAGAGTACAAATATGATCCGATGTATAACAGAGCTCAAAAAGGCAAACCTCAACAGTTTGTTTACAGGGATACATATAGAGTAAAACTATTTTTTTTTAAAGACCCCCAAGGGAACGATTAACCCAAAATTCAGAAGAGTGGCTACCTCTGGAGGGGGGAGGAGGAGCGGGAGCAGGGAGGGGTCCCCTGGGGGCTCTAGGGTACTTCTAATGTGCTATGTTTTCATTCAGCCGGCTGATAACGAGTACACTGGTGTTTGTGTTGTCAATGTTATTTAAACTGTGAATGTATATCGTTTACACTCTCATGTGCATGACTTAGGGCTGATGTACATTTTAAAACGTACACGCAAAGCACACACATAAAAGACTTCTTTAGCTCTCCCAGCATCAGATACTGTTCTAAATAAGTGCCCCCAATATCCACACAAAATAAAGATGAAGTAAAGATGATTTCAGTGGGCCACTGAACAGAAGACAAGACCGAATAACTTCTTACCTCTTGTGGTGTGACTCTGGAGTATTTGTGCTTCCCGTAGTGTTGATAGTCAACCATATAGGAGCTTTTGTATATGTCTAAATCCACAGGGGCCTGAAGGGCAAGGGAGATTACAAACAAGAGACCTCATCTTGACATTCTTCCACCTAAAGGCATTAGACGGCTTCTCATGGCCCATAGGACCAAGACCAACTTTTGGGCCTGGCATTCGGAGCCCCCATGATCTGGCTTCTACTGACCTTTGCCATCTTGCCCTGCTTGACTCCCCTCCATGCCTTCTGCACTCCAGCCTCACTACACTCCACTTTTCGCAGATGCGCATGCTCTTATCTCCTGCTGGAAATGCTCGTGGTACTCCTCACGGACTGACAAACTCCTACACATCCTCCAAAACCCAGATTAAATTTCTCCCCAAAACATCTATCCCACTCTTCTATTCACCTCCCCCAAATTAAACTCTTTCTCCTCTGCTTTCACAGCACATTTTGCATCCCCTCATTACAGCACTTACCATGGTAATTGTAATTGATTTAATGAAGTATACTAGATTAGGACCTAATCTTTGGCATCTCTGCAGGCTCGAAGCCCAGCACAGGGCCTGACACACCGCGGGTGCCTATTAAATGCATGCTGAATAAATAAGTGAGCCCCCAGAAAACCATAAATCATTACTTTCCTCTGCCTATTAAACATACACGCACACACACACACACACACGTACACACATCATTCCAGAATGACAACCAGAGGGAGCCCAAGGTGCCTGGGCCTGTCTGCTAAAGTTGCTCAACCTTGAGGTACGGTCACAGGCGACAGAAACCCACAACACTCACCTGTCTGGGATACACCACACCTGCCATGGCAGACAACCTAGACACAGACAAGTTGGTTATAGCCCTGCTTCCGCCACAGGCCGGGGGAAACACCCGTTGTCCCCAAAGCCATGTGCCAAGCAAGCAAGTCCTCTTAGACTTCCCCTGCACGTTACTCAGTCATCCAGGGGTTGATGGCAGCAGCAAGGATCAATGGGCAGGTAGACAGGGGTCCTGGGACAAAGGGGCAGGAGCAGGTCCCAGAAGGAATCAGAGCTGATGAGAACCAGATTCACCTCTCAAGCAGGGCAGGTAGTGTGCTGGTAAGTCTTTAATAACCACCTTTTTGTGGCAAATAAATAAGCAGTGGTTGGTAGCATTTACCAGTTTCTATGGTGTAAATGCTCACACCACGGCCCATTTCAGGCTATCGACATAATGTCACTAATGTGGAGTTGCAACGCTGTACACGGAATGGGCTCCCAGAGCCAGGATGAGCTGACTCCAACACTCGGGTCCCACTGAACCAGGGCTCTGAGCTGCCCTGAAGAAGGAGGCTGCAGCCTTAGGACTTAGAGGCGCCCGGATTCAGAAGCACCAACCATGTTTTCTAGTGGGGTTGGGGGTATCCAGGGTGAAGAAAGTTGTGAGGCTCTGCTTTTCCAGCTGAACAATAGCAGCAGATACGTCCAATCCTGCCCCTCACTCCCCAGCCCTGAAGTCCTCGTGGGGAGCCTCACAGCTGGGCCCTGGGGAGCAATCTGAGCTCCCAGTTCTTGACTGGTTCTCCACTCTGTTCCCGCGGAACACCGCCCTGAGCCTCACCACATTCAGTGCGCTGTGGCTGAGCACGGCAGTTGCCAGACCTCAAAGAGTCCTTATGTCCCCTCCGTTTTGTGCATGGACAGCTCCCCTCCTGGGGCCAGGGGCCAGCTTCAGCGCAAACAGCCCCTACCCCTCCTTCTGCCCTTCCCGCTCCAGGTGCCCTGCTGCGTGAAGAGTCCCACCACTTTGTCGCACTGCCACACCTGTCCTTGAGATACGTAATGCAGGCTGCTTTGGTCACAGTCCCTGGTCATTGTGATGGTGACTGGCTCACCTCTCGTGTGGCAGTGCCCAGGTCCCTGGCCCACCCTCTCACGCAAGCCGCTGGCTTCCAGGACAGCTGAGCCAACAGGAACCCTGGCAGCGGTGTTGGAAGGTGCAGGGAGGCGGGGGCTTGCCAATGCTCTACAGAATTGGTAATTTCCAGGAGAGGGCGGTAAACAGAACCCCACATGGATTTTGACATCAGACCGCGGGCTACTCGATCCACTGCACACCGGAGCCCCTCCAGGCCTCTGTTGCCCGAAAGGCTGGCTTGTCCATCCTCTGTCTGTCAGAATTTCACCCTCTGTCACACCCTTGAGGCTGACCGTGATCCCAAAAATGAAAAATAAAGTAAGTGCTGACGAGGATACGGAGAAACTGGAGTCCTCATGTGCTGCTGGTGGGAGTGCAAATTGGTGCAGCCACTCTGGAAGACAGTACGGTGGTTCCTCAAAAAATTACACATTGCCACAGAATTGCCGTATGATCCTGCAATTCCTCCTTTGAGTGTGTGCCCCAGAGACCTGAAAGCAGGGACTCGAACACTAACTTGTACGACCATGTTCATAGCAGTATTCACAGTGGCCAAGGGATGGAAACAACCCCAATATCCGTCAACAGGTGAGTGAATACACAAAATGTGATGTATACATATGATGGAATACGATTCTGTCTTGTAAAAAGTTTAAAAATTTTCTAATTCCAGTATGGTTAACGTACTGTGTTATATTAGCTTCAGGTGGACAATATAGTGATTCAACAATTCTATACATTTTTCAGTGCTCATCACTGGCAAGTACACTCCTCAATCCCCATCACCTAGTTCCCCCATCCCCCACCTGCCTCCCCTCTGGTAACCAGCAGTTTGTTCTCTCTTGTTAAGAGTCTGTTTTTTGGGTTTGTCTTTTCTTTTTTCTTTGTTCAAATATTATTCAGTTTTAAAAAGAAATTGTAGCACATGCTACAACATGAATGAATCTTGAAAACATGCAAAGTGAAATAAGCAAGACCATAAAGGACAAAGATTGTATGATTCCATTTACACGAGGTACCTAGGCTCATCAAGTTCATAGAGACAGAAAGTAAGAGTCATGGTTGCCAGGGGACTGGTAGGAAAAGGGACAGCATTTTAAGAAGATGAAAACTTTCTGGAAAAGGATGGGGTGATGATGATCGCACAACATTGCAAACATATTTAAACCACTAAATTGTATACTTTGAATGGCTAAAATGGTAAAATTTTGTTATATATATTTACCACAGTAAAAATTATTCACTTTCTTTAAGGGCCACCTCTTCCATGAAGCTCTTCTTGGTCTCTCACTAGATGCCACCACAGATTCCTTTCATTTATCCGACCAATATTTATTGAGCACGGTTTCGTGTTGAGCGCTGTTCTAAGCTGTGCAGATTCAACAAGTGAACAAAATAGATGGGAATCCCCCTGATGCACAGAGTTTACATTCTGATGAGAGCAAAACACAGAGTAAACAAAGTAATAATTGCTCAACTGCTCCATTAGATCCAGCAAATAAACAAAGGGAAGTCTGAGAGAATGACTGAGTGACTCTTCAGGGGGGTCTGAGAAGGCCTCTCGAAAAGGATGGCATTAGAGTGGAGATCTGAAGTGTAAGAACCAGTCATGGAAAGATCTGAAAGATAGGGCTTCTCAGCACAGGTCAGCAAGTGCAAAGCCCGTAAGACAAGAACAAGGGAGAATGAGGGGGGCCCAGGAAAGGAGTGGGTGAGGGCAAGAAACCAAGAGCAAGGGTGTTGGGAATCTCTGACTTTCACCTTTCTGTAATGGCATGCCAGTTTCCCTTTGGAGAACTATTTCTCTCCCCTACAGGGATCATGTGATTTGTGTGGTACTGACCCTACTCCAGCTCTAAATGAGTGTGTTGTCCCTACAATAGTCCATCCCCCAGGCCACTGTGATTGATGCAAGGAGAGGCTCATGACCAGAGGTGGGCTGATAGGCATCACCCTCAGCTCCTGGCAGAGTCTCTGTCTTTCTGTGATAGTAGGCATTAAGAACTGTGGGAGCCTGGAGCTGTCTGAAGCCATTTTTGCCACCAAGTGGAGAGAGCCTGGCCATGAATAAAATCAGCAGAGAAAAGAAAACCCAAGAGATGAAGACAGAGAGTGACTGCATCATGAGGACACTAACTAAGCCCCTGGATACAACCATGCCTGAAGCTTAACTACATCCGGACTTTGCCATTTATGTGAGCTGATATATTTCTTTTCCTGCTGAAGCCAGTTTTAGTTGAGTTTATGTAACTTACAGCTGAAGCAGTTCCAACAAATTCAAGGTTGGAGAACTAAAGTAGTTACTTCTAACAAACTGTGGTATCCTTCAGGTAAAGAACTTGGTCTTGGTCACTTTTTTATCCCTCAGTGCGTGGTCACTTACATGCAGGGATTTAAGAAGTTCTTGTGAATATAATAATCCTGAAGGAAATGGCAAAGAATCGGGTGAAGAACAGAGTGGCCATGGAGATGAAAGTGGAGGGACAGCTGGGCTATAACAAGTGATTTTTGTGCCTCAAGGATATATTTTCAGGGAAATATTACCAAGTAGATTCTGGAGTCCTGACTTTAAATCCTGATACTTGCTATCTTCATGCCCTTGGGTAAATCATGTAAGTTCAATAGAAGTCAATGTGATCATCTGTAAAATGGGTATGTAATATCCACCCGAAATGAACGTAGAAAGTCAAATGGATGTGTCTGTGATGGTCGTTGGTGTTCTTCAGGCCAGAGTTCACTCACATTTTCTGAGTTTACACTCTCTGCCAGACATGGTACAGGGCCTGTAATCAGAGTAGGGAGGAAAACCAGCAGTGGCCTCTGCCTTCGTGAAGTTACAGGGTGATGATGGATAAATATCTTATACAAGTGAGTCTTTAATTACAGCTGTGACAATGCCATGGAAGAGAAATGGGGTGCAGGGATCTGATCTGGTCTTGGAGGAAAGGAAGACTTGCATCAAGTAGTGACATTATACCCCAGTCCTAAGGAGGCAGGAGCATGCTCTGGCCTGTGTGACTGCTGTAGGGCTAAAGGGAGCCCGGTCTTGTGTGGAAGACAGAGGCTGTTCTGCTAGTGCAGAATAAGAGGGGCACGTGTGGCTCCAGGTGAGGCTGGGGGTGGGGGTGGTTCATCCAGCGGGGTACAGGAGGATCAGTGGGTTTTATCCTGAAAATAATGGGAAGTACTGGGGAGTTTAAACAGAAGGATGAAGCAACATATCAAAAAGATCACTGGTGGACAATGGCCTGGGAGGAGGATGAGACAAGATCCCGGCAATCGGGCCACTGGCTGATGGTGGTGGCTGGGATAGGTTGGAGGAGATGGCAGCAATATGGAGATATGGGTGGATTCAAGAGGCATTTTGGAAGTAAACTCTATAGAATTTAATCATTATCAGAAATTGGCAGGGGCAAGGCAAGAGGCAGAGGCAAGACAGAGAGAGGTATCAAAGATGATTCCCTGATTTTTAGGATGAGCCACTGGGGGTTGGTCGCCCTTTGGTGAGGTAGAAAATGCAGGTGGAGGAGCCGGCTTGGGGAGTAAGACCACCATATGGCATCTGTGTGGCCCATGTGGCTTCCGGGTGGAGAAGCAAGTACACACCTGGGTAGGAGAATCTATAGCCCCGGGAAGAAAGCCCTGGACACTCTGGAATTGCTGGTGATATAGGCGGTATTTGAAGCTAACAGAGAGGGTTTGCGGTATTTGGGGAGCACAGCCTCCCTCCCACATGGCCCCGCAGTGTGAGGCTGCCCTGAAGAACTTTCTGCTGGCTCCCTAAAAGGGTGCTCAAGGGCAACAGAAAGGGAAATCAGGCCACAGGAGGGTAAGGGTGAAGGGGTCCACGTACTCGGTCTTCTTTCCGGTTTCTGGTATTTGTCAATTTCGCCATGGTCAGGTTTCTGCAGAACCTCTGGGCTTCA